ATGACAAGAGGATTTATAACTTAAGAATAAAAAATGTGAATGAAGAAGCAGGAGTAACTACAAAGACTACTCACAGATATAATTAAGGAAAAATTCCCAAGCATAGGAAAAAGAAATGATATCCAGATAAAGGAGGCATACAGAGCTCCAGCCACCTACAACCAAAGCAGATCTACCCTCAGACATATAATAATCAAGATTCCAGAAATCCACCACAAGAACAGAATATTAAAAGTGGCCAGAGAAAAGAAGCAGATCACCTACAAAGGACAAATCATCAAAATAACGACAGACTTATCAACACAAACTCTCAAATCAAGAAGAGCCTGGGGGGAAATAGTCCAAGCCCTGAAAGAAAATAACTTCCAACCAAGACTAATGTACCCAGAAAAACTCTCTCTCAAAATTAATGGAGAAACAAGATATTTCCCAAACAAGGAAGAACTGTGGGAGTTCATGGCCACCACCTCAACCCTACAAAAAATACTGAAAGACATTCCAGAGAGAGAGGAAAAAATACCAGGATTCCAGCAACAGTGGCAGAGAGACCTCAATGAATGAGGCAGACAGTGGAATGCAGGAACAAAGTGGACAAATAATAACAGAAGAATAGAATAGCAGAGATGATGCAGAGATGGTAAGCTATAATCTTTAATATAGATAGCCCTGATACACTAACAAAAAAGAAACACAGCCAGAGTAGATTAGGAGGCAGGATCCATTGAGATGTTTTGAATAGGAAATACACTCAACCTGAAAGAGGGTTAATAAACTGAGGGTCAAAGATGAGAAAACAATGCTATATGTGTCAGGAAACCAGAGAGAAATAGGGACAACTCGTCCAGCAGCCGCAGATAGGTTGGAAAGTTATGACACTTTTGTGGGGTGTAGAACTACACACCTGGAAGGAAGAAAAATCTTTGTGGCTTTAGCAAGTAAAGGAGTATAGCTCAAGATTAAGCTCAGGGGTAAAAAGGTTCAGCAACACTCAGATAAATAAAAGATTGACCCCTAGCCTAAAAACTAAAGGAGCTAGTGGGACCCAAAATATACAAAGCATCCTGAGAAGGGGAAAGGTGAGGAATTGCCTAAAAAAGGAAGGCAGAGGACATTGTTAAAAGTGTGTCCGAATTTAAAAGCCACAGAAGTGTTATTGCTTTGTTTGGTTTGATTATATTTTGTTCCAGTCTGTCTACTCATACGAGATTTGAGGGCACAGACAGCTAACCCAAAACATGCAGCAGGTTAAACTAGCCTTAATTTCCTATTAAACTGAAACCCTGTATTTCTTACATTGTCTCACTATGACTGATCTTATTTGAAGCTGGTTTGTTAGACCCTATTTTGCCTTGACTGATTCAAATTTGGTATGCTTGATAGTATCAAGTCTAAGAGTAGAGGCAACTACTCTGAAGATGACAAGATGTAAAAGATATCCATTCCAGTTTTGATTATTAACTGCTTTAAAGTCCTACAATGCCTTCAAAGTTATGTTTTTATAAAAATAGCTATGTAATGCTATGCTTAACTATATAATACCTGATGATGTGGACAATTCTATTTAAAATAACAAGAGAAAGCATAGTAACTACTGTAGATTACCTAATATTATGATCTTACATGTCTTTTTCAGTTCATGTTTTTCTAGGAATTTGTTTTGTTGTCTTATTTTGATCTGTTTTTCCCTAAAATACAGAAAGGATAGATATACATGTAGAGATTCACACATGGGAAGAATTTCTAAACTATTTATGGGAACAGATTATATAATACATGATGCAATGAACAGATACTTTGAAGAAGAGGAGACACTAAGAAACCCAATGCTGATCCTGTAGCATTATGATATAAAATCTAGCAATACTATTATTCACTGTTCAGAGTGATATTAGTCTAGTCTCTTATGTTCAGTTTCAGCATACGTAAAGATAAGGACAGCTACTACAAAGAGAATGAGAGACATTATGGTAGTCATTATTGACTTCTCCAATGTCAGATCTTGAAGACCTAAAAAGCCTTCATCATTCTGTAATGATCTGACTAGTTCTGTAATATTCAGTATGTATTCAATGTGTGTAAAGATGGGGACAACTATTTGGAAGAAAACTAGAGACAATAAGATAAACAGTGAAGATCTCCAGTGGACTTGCTTTGAAATCTGCGTTTCTTTAAATTGTTTCTTTATGAACTGTTTTCTTCTGTTTTTGACATATTTAATATTACCCTCTTTAAGATTAAAAAAACACTTGTTTGTTTGTTTTGTTTTGTTTTGTTTTGTTTTGTTTTGTTTTGTTGTAGTTCTGTATTACGTGTACCCTTACACCGCTTTGGTTTGTTTTGTGTTTTTCTCTTTTTCCTCTTAAATAAAAAAAAAAAAAAGATAAAAAAAACAAGTGTATAGGACTGATAACTATATTACTAAGTTTTTGTTGGATCATTGAGCGGAACTGTTTTCAGTGTCATTATTTGAATATCACTTTGTATGCTTTAATTTTGTAACTTGAACAACTATTTCTAAGATGACAATATGTAACTTATCAACTAGTGATTTCTTACTGTTTATGTTTCTGAAATTCTGTATTATTTCTACCCTTTTTTTCTGTTTTTTTCTCTTTAAATAAAAAAAAAAACTACTTTCCTGATATAAAGCCCATTTAGTCATGGGTGTGTGTGTGTGTGTGTGTGTGTGTGTGTGTGTGTGTGTAATATATAATATATATCTTATATTTAGTATGTACTGCTAAGTTAGATTTGCTAATATTTTGTTGATAATGTTTTGGGCTTCTCTGTTTATGGGGTATGTGGGCTTATAGTTTTTTATTTTTACACTTTGTCTGGCCTTGGTATCAAAGTGTGTTAGTTATCTTTCTGCCACTATAACAAAATATCTGAGGTGTTAACTTATAAAAAGAAAAGGTTTCTTTTGGAACATAGTTCTGAAGATTCCAGACCAATGTTAAGTGGCCTCATTTCTTTGGGCTTCTGGTGAGGGCAGCACACCATGGCAAAACACGTGCCAGAGAAAACCACTTCCATCAGAAAGCAAAAAAAGGAAAAAAAAAAGAACCATGGGGATGGAGGTTTAGCTCAGCGGCCTAAGCGCCTGCCTTGCAAGCAGGCAGTCGTGAGTTCGATCCCTGGTACCGATAAAAAGGAAAAAGACAAAAAAAAAAAAAAAAGAAAGCTAAAAAAGGAGAGAAAGAAGAAGAGACCAGAGTCCCATAGTCCCCTCAAGAGCAGTTACTTAAGGGTCTTTCCTGAGGCCCCACTTCTCAAAGGTCCCCCACCTCCCAACAGTGCCACCTGGGGCCGCATCTTTAACACATAGCACTTGTGGGCCACTCACAACCACCATGGCACAGGATCCTGTGTGTTGCTCTCATCAAATCAATTGGCAAATGTCCCCCACTCTTCTATTTTGCAGAACAGGTGTTATTTTCTTACGAAGTGTTTGGTAAAATTTTCTAGTTAAACCATATAAAAGATTTTAAATACAAAATCAACTTTTAAAATAGCTATAGGATAATTTGGGTAATTTAATTCATCCTGGACGTTTTGCTAATTTTTGGTTTTCAAGGAACAGACATATTTCATCACATTAGTGTGTGTATACTTGTTGGTGGCATTCCTTTATTGTGTTTTCAGGTATCATAGGATGCTCTGATGCTGAAATGGGCCCCAGAATTTCCCCACATTCATTCAATGATCAGGTCTTTACCCACTGGCCTGCGTCAGTCATTGCGGCTGGCATCTGGAAAGGACCCACAAGATAGCAATGTACAGACAGGAAGAGGGTCAGCCTACCCCAGACCTCTTATTCGGCCACTATTGTACCAGCATTTAACAGAAAGGAACTTTCAGGAGTCAGCGCTCTTAGACAAGCCCTTGCAGAGGGAGACAAGGCTAAGGTCTCACCAGTTCCTGGCTCTGTGACAGCCTGAGGCCTACTCCTCCAGGAAGGAAACAGCAGAATGCCCTCTCCCCATCCCCATGCTGTGGAACCCGCTAGCTATCAGCCAGGTATGCAGGAAGATGAAGAACCATGGAAGCCATGAACCATGGCTTCCACCTGGGGCTCAAGGGCAAGGTACAGAGTGGTCTGAGATGGGAAAAGGACTTCTATTGTGGCTTATTTATCCCTCCAAAGCCTCATGCACTCATAGATGGGCTTTTGAGAGTGACTGGATCATGACATGAGTGCGGAGATACTGGATTAGTCTGCTGATTGGTTTAGCGCAGCTCTGCGTGTGGCTGAATGGGTTTTCTGAAATCAGAACCCCCCACCTGGGTGTGGGTAGCACTAACCGATAGGCTTGAGCCTAGATAGAAAAAAGATGAAGAGGCTCACAGCTGCTGCTTCCTGCCTGCCCGCTTCCTATCGTGTACTGTTCCTCCTCGCCATGCCACCGTGCCTTGAAGCCAGACAGCTATGGACTGATACCTCTATAGTGAGCTAAAATAAAGCTTTTGTCCTGTAACTTGCCTCAGTAATGAGAAAGTCACTAAGACAACTTGGTTGGGTCTAACAGCTACCATTTCAGGTCTCAGATTCTGACTTGGTAACTGAGTATAACAGTACAATCTCAGGCAGGCAGGGAAACAGGGTCACAGGCTTAGCATGAGTGTACTTCTCTAAATCTTAGGGATACGGATTGATCCCTGAGTGTACAGAACCAGATGGGTGAATTTTTGGTGAATGTGCTGCTGTTTCCATGACAACACCTAAGGCTCCTGTGATGTGCAGCCTGTGATGTGCTCTGCTTCCATAGATCAAGCATGAGTAATGTGTCATGGGACTGGCCATCTGCACCCCCAGGTTCCCTACCTACAGCACACTTTGCTAATTGATCACAGTTTTTGCTCGGTTTGGGTAAAGAATCCTTCTTCATACATGGCTTCAAACAACCTCTGTCAATTCCCCAGAGCTAATATCTGAGGTGCCAAGTATCTCCCACCACCTGCTTGCCCCCCCAGTCAGAGAAAGTCTGCAGAAGGCCAGTTCACTGCTTTATTGGGAGGGGAATACACTCCGTCATAATGCAAGGCCCTGAGCCCAGCACGATCTGCAGCTCGAGATGCAGCTCCCTGGTAGTGACTTGGTAATGGCCCTTGATGAGACCCCTGTAAGTGCAGGTGTGGCTCCTCCAGAAGGCCTGGATGACACGAACAGCACTGAGCACCTGGCAGTACTGCTGGCGGGCACGCCACATGCGGACCCAGGACTGCAGTCTGACCGCGGCCCGCTCCTCCTTTAAAAACTGTTTCAGAATCACACGCCGTCTCCTGTCCACCATCTTTGCCAGAATCATCCGCCACCAGCATTGAATGACCAAGGCGCTGAGGGCTGCATGCAGCAGTGCCCGGCGCACCAGTGTGCCCCGCCACCAGGCCTGGATCTTTACAGTTGACATCACTTTCTGGTCTTCTTGGGACTTGCAAAGAAATAAAGGGGACATTCAGAGGATGCTGCTCACCTATTCAGCTTCAGGGTGCCAGGAAAGACCCTGATCTCCCATCACCAATTGTCCCTTCTAAAAAGAAGTTGCACTGGGAAGGGCACTGACTCCTCTCCTCTCTTTACTTCTTTCTCTGAGGTCTTCAGCTTCCACTGAAAGTCATCTTTTTTCTTTCTTTCTTTTCTTTTTTAGCAGTACAGGGGCTTGAACACAGGGCCTTCACACTGAACTATTTCCTCAGTCCCTTGTTATGTTTTATTTTGAAATGTCCTACTAATTTACTAAATTGTCCAGGCTGGGCTTGAACTTTGCAATCCTCCTGCCTCAGCCTTCCAAAGTACTGGGATTACAGTTGTGCCCCACCATTCCTGGCTGAGAGTTATCATTTGTAATGAGTATGTTAACATCCTTAGGCTGCTTCTCCTCCTGCAAACAGCAGGGAGAGGAGAAGTTAAGAGTGAAGCTACCTTTCTTCCCTCCCCATTCATAGCCCACCTGTCCCTAGTTCCAGGCTTCCCAGACTTTTTAGATGTCAGAGAGTCCCTTCATCCTGAGAGCTGTGAGGACGTCCCTAACAAGCCTGGCACACCTGGCTTGCTCTTACCATTGGTCACATGTAGGATGGATGTAGATGGTTCAGCTCCCTTCAAGTCTCTGTTTTCCTCCAGCCATAGCATGGGCAGAGAGTAGAGGGAAACTTGTGATGTCATAAGGGCAGAAATGACTCAAGCACCAGGTTTCCAACAAGAAAAAGACAAAAGTGATGCCTAGATCTCCATTGGGACCCAGGCGAGGGTGCCAAGGGTGGCCTCTTCCATCAGCATCTTCTCTGCAACCCAGATGAACCACACCAGAAAACCCAGAGAACTGCCTCTCCCCTTACTACTTCCACGACTGAGGTAAAATCATCAAGCAGGCCCAGAGATCAGAGGGGACACCAGCAACACAGCAGGGTGCATAGGACGGACAGGTAGGGCTAGTGGCATAAAAAGTCCAAAGCAACAATGACAATATGAGCCCAGAGGCGGTAAGTTAGGTGAACCAGCATTGTGCTTGGGAACTAAGACGCACAGAACAGAAGCAGGCAGCTGGGGCTGCCCCATTCTTTCTTTCTTCCTCTCTCTCTCTCTCTCTCTCTCTCTCTGTTTCTTTTTCCCTCTTTTTCTTTTCCTTTTCTCTATTCTTGTTTTCTCTTTTCTATATGGTTGGGGAGAACAACCACAGAAAACTAATACCATCCCACAAATCCAGAGACCAAGTTGAGACAGTCCCTTACTTACTCTCTCATTCTCTCTCTTCTGCCCTCTCCTCTAGTCTCCCAAAATGTACATGATCATCCTTCATCCTCCAATCTTGCTTCTACTTTCTTTTCGTTACTTTTGTTTTATCCACTATCCTTCTTAAATTTCCCCACCACAGGTCAAAACCACTCTGCCAAGGAGAAACGCTTAGAACACAAGCTCCCAATTTACAATCAGTTCTGTTACATAATTGTAGATTTTGTTCCTATGGTTTAAGGTACAAAATTAATACCCACACAGTTTGTCAGTTTCTAAACTTTGCTTGATACTATCATTGCTAATCATACTATTTTAGTTAGAATGTCATATCTGTTATAATCAGTTGTTCTTAATTCTCTAACAATATGGGGAAACTCTGGGATAATAATTGACCACAGCCCAGCCCCAAAGAACTGGGGACCGAATCAAATAGATACCAATATCTCAACTAACTGGGAAGGTAGGATCTTGGAAAAGACAAAAGCCAAGAACCTACTATGCACAGAAGGCATCCCTGAGTAATAGACTTTTCCTAGAGAGGATTTGATACTGGTGATATAGTGACCTACTACAAAAACTTACAAGGATCAACACAGAGAACAAAATTAAAAATATTTAAATGGAAAGTGCCAAGTCCCAGAAGCAACATACAATCTCAGACCTCCAGCTCACAGACAACAAGTCCAGCAGACAATGAGATGGAGGAAAATGGAAGACACACACTTGAAATTTCTGAAATGATAGCAACTGAAGTAAAGAAACAAATCTGTGAGGAATAGACAAAGTCACCTCAGAAATAATCTCTCAGGTTAAAAAAAAAATGTCAACGTTTATTTAAAAAATTGCTCAGGAAATCTAGAGTACAGATTTAAAAATCTGATGATAGGAAAATGATAGAAACCATAAATGATCAATATAGGAATGAAATTGAATGAATGAAAGAGATTCAAAGAAATATCCAGGAAATTTAAAATTCCATTGAAAGCTGGCAAGACTGCTGGAATGACACTAAAGACAGACTTTCAGATCTTGTAGCTAGTAATCACAAAGGAAAGATCCCTTAAAAATAACAAGAGATTAAGAAATAACAATTCAGGCCTTCCCATAAAGCAAAGCCCACCATGCTGATCAGAAAGAGCCTCAGCCTGGAGCTGAGGATTTAGCTCAGCCATTCAAGTGCCTGCTTGATAAGTGCAAGATCATGAGTTCGATCCCCAGTACCAGAAAAACGACAGAAAGAAACAGCCTCAGCCAGAATACAGTCTATGTCTTCCCATGAAGCAGGCTCTGCCATGCTAATGAATAAGAGCCTCAGCCTTCCTGTGAGCCAGCCAGTACATAAGCTGAAAAACCAGAAGAGCATCCCCACCTCCCACTGATTTGGAGGACTCGAGATGATCACACCTGAGGGGAAGGGAACAGCTTGATGCTTGTATTGTTTGGGTGACTTTGTGGACCTGGGTCTCATGGTCTGGGCATCTACTTAAAGGATGGAAGTGTGCACTGTGGCACCTGTGGGGAATTTCCTCCTGTCTTGTTTTTGAAATCCAGTGTTTTGTTCCATTTTACTGTTTTGTTTTATCCCTGTATCTGGTAACCTGAACAATTACTTTGAAAATAACAATTTGCAATACTGTTCTCACTGTTTTGTTCTGATTTATTGTTTTTGTTTTATTAAATGCTATATTTTGATCAGTTTTGTTCTCTTTTGTTTGATTTTGCTATGTCTGATGGTATGGACAACTATAGTGAAGATAGCAAGATATATTATGGTAACTATTGTGATTTCCCATATCCTGTTTTGAAGTTCTGTACCACTTTCATTGCTTTGTTGATTGGCTTTATTCTGTTGTGTTTTGTTGGGCTTTATTCTCCTTAAAATAAAATTTTAAAAAAGTAACAATTCAATAGTTGCAAGATGATACACAGAAAAACAATGTAAGACTGGTAAGCGTCAAGGAAAAAGCAGGAGACAACACAAATGATATAAAAAGACTATTTACAGAAAATTTCCCAAACATGAGAACAGAATCTAACATATAGTTAAGTGAGGCATACAGAACTCCAATTAGCCATGACTAAAATAAACCTACACCCAGGTATATAATAATCAAAATGCCAGAAATTTAGTACAGGAACAGAATATTAAAGGCTGTTAGAGAAAAGAAACAGATCCACCTATAAAAGAAAGCTCATCAGAATCTCAACACAAACCTCTAAATCAAGAAGATCTTGAAGTATTTCAAGTCATGAAAAAAAAACAACTTCCAACCCAGACTGAAGTGCCCTGCAAAACTATCTATCAAAATTAATGAAGAAATCAGATAGTTCCATGACAACAACCGAAGAAATTCGTGACCACCAAACAAACACTACAAAGGGTACTGAAAGATATTCTAAACAGAGATAAAAATTACCACAATTCCAAGAACAACAGAAAGAAATCAACAAGCATAGCAAGAAGTTAAAGAGAGGGGAAAAGCAGGGAACCAGTGGTGGGAAAGTAACATGAAAAAGATAAGTTCATAATATATATCAATACATAATGTAAATGGCCTCAATTAACCAAGCAAAAGAAACAGACTGGAAGAATGGATTAGCAAACAAGATTCAACAATTTTCTGTATACAAGAAACACATTTAACTCAAAAGAGTTCATAGACTGAAAGCCAAAGGATGCAAAACAATACTCTATGCAACAGGAAGCCAGAAAAAATCAGGAATAGCTATTCTGTTTGCAGATAATGTGAACTTCAAACCAAAAATGATCAAAAGACATAAAGTCCCTAAATTCTTGTTAGGGGAAAACTTCAAGAGAAAGTGATAACAGTCATAAATATACATGCTTCAAATATGGGAGCACCCAACTATATAAGATAAATATTAATGGACATGAAAAATCACATAAGCAATAACACAATTACAGTGGGGGACCTTAACAATCCTCTATCACAAAGTGATAGATCAAAGTCATTCATGAACTGCAGGGGGAGAGAAAAAAGTTTCACCAAAAGGCAAGCCCTCCCTGTGAACCAGCACCATTTGCAGGCCACTGCCAGAGTGGGAACAGCCAGACCCAAGCCTTTCCCCATGAGTCAGTGCCATTTGCAGACTGCAGGGGAGAGAACAAGATCTCAGCAAGAAGCAAACCTCCCTGCAAACCAGCACCATACACAGGTTACCTCCAGCAGGGGGACAGCCAGACTCCAGCCCCTTCCAGCATACGGACTGGAAGTCTCCTTCCCACCCCCTGTAAGCAATCCAGTGAAACACAGGCTGAGATGATAACTAGTGAGGTGAAATGCAATTGGATGCTTGTGGTGTTTTTTGTGTTTCACTGACCTTGCAGGTGTAGGGCCGGTGGTCTATTCAGAGGATCACAGTATGCAGTGTGGCATCTATAGGGGATCTCCTTCTGAGAGTGGTAGCCATTGTTAATTCCCTATTGTCTTGTTTTGAAGTCCTGTAACACTTTCATTGTTTTGTTAGTTTGGATGTTATTCTGCTTTGTTTTGTTTGATTATGTTAAATCTGATGGCATGGGCAGCTATTTTAAAGACAGCAAGATGTATTATGGTAGCCATTTTGAATTTACTATTGTCTTGTTTTGAAGTCCTTTATTGCATTCATTGTTTTGTTTTTGTTGGTTCTATTCTGTTCTGCTCTGTTTGATTTTCACCATGTCTAAGGGTATCTGCAGCTATTTTGAGGACAGCAAGAGACATTATAGTAACTATTGATTTCATATTGTTTTGAAGTCCTGTGTCACTTACACTGGTTTGTTTTGATTGGTTTTACTGTTTTATTTTCCTTGGTTTTATCCTCTTTAAAATTAAAAAGAGAGAGAGATATATCAAGTAGACCCCCCAAAAAAAATTAGCAAGGAAATAACAGAACTGAACCACGCTAAACTGAACAAATGGATTTAGCAGATGTTTACAGAGTGTTCTACCCAACATCAGAATACATATTCTTCTCAGCTGCACACAGGACATTCTCTAAAATAGACCATATATTAGCCCACAGAACATGCTTAAGTAAATGCAAAGGAAATGAAATTATCCCATGCATATTACCTGACCATAGTGCAATAAAATTGGAAATTAATTAATTGGAAACTGTGAAACTCCATAAACACATGGAAATTAAATAATACCCTCCTGAACAACCAATGGGCCACAAATGAAATTAAAGAAGAAATTAAACAATACCTATAACCAAACAAAACTGCAAATACAATGTACCACAACCTGTTGGTACACTGAAAGCAGTCCTAAAGGGAAATTTATAGCATTGAATTCTCACGTCACAAAAACAGAACAAACACAAATAAACAATCTAATGCTATATCTCAAATTCTAGAAAAGGAAGCAAGTCAAATTTGAAGACCATAA